TTGCATTGTATTTACATATTCAATGTTATAATTCAAATATCTCCTTGATATAAGAATTAGTAATTCATCATTATGATCTTTTCTTATAGCATCCTTCAATGGCCATTGTCAAAGGTGCTGGGATGGTTATGAAGGCTGTCATTGAGGTACTTGTTATCAGTTCATCCAGTATGCAATTTACATACCATCCAACAAAGTGAAGCAAGATTAAATTTATTGACATATCCACTGTTACAACACTACTTTTTACATGTTCATTTTGGATGATTTTATGTAAACATGACTTGTACTCTAAAAGAAGAAGGAAAAGATTATTCATTTCTTATTTATCTGTTATATTTAAGGAAGGAGATGCAGAAATTGCTGCTAAAATGCAAGATCTTGCTTTAGCAGAAGGAGCTCTCCCTCGCCATCTTCACACAGCAATGTTTACTCAGAGTAATGACAGCAGACTACTTGCTAATAGGTAAACTTAATCTACATTATAATTGTTTTTATCCAGTATCTTGTGCTATTATTCATATATTATCAATCAATACATTAAGGTTGAATCATGATTAGTTGGCTCCGTTAACCTGTGATTTCTTGTCATTGTATTTCAGACAGTTAAGCAGACATCTTGTAGCTTTGTGGATTACTGGTCATCCAACAGCTATGGCTTTRATGAAGAGAATCATGGTACTTTTGACCTGGTTCATAACAGTGCTTTCAATATTTAGGAACAATAACCTTTTTAACTTGGAAATTGTGTCAGCAATGAGAGAGTTTTCTATCACTCACTCACTCACATTCCTGTAAACGTTCAGTTGTTAATATTCACTATTTTTGGTTTATCATTTCAGCCRCTTGGGCTACTGAACTACTTGGATAGTGAAGAAAAGGTATGTTATTTTCTGTAATATAATGCTTGCTTAATAAGAGAGATAAATTATTTTGTAGTTTTGATCAACTTTATACTTGCTAGATAAATTGTTATATCATGTTAAATATTACTGTTTTTAGATTCCAGAATCAGAAATCGACAAACTTCATGTCAGAGACAATGTAAAATTAGCAGAGGTAAATGAAAACATTAAAATTATCAAATGAATAATTATGAATACTAATTATTGTTATTGTTGTTGTTAGGATTCATCAAAGAGCAAAAAGYCTCTGTACATGATTCAGCTTGACACAGTTCTAACTCACTGGAGAACCAAGATTGGACTCAAGTCWAAAGATGTTAGTCACAAGTCATGATTATATCAGTACATGAATGACATTCTCTCATTTTATTTTCCATTATGGATTAGTTACTCCATTTCTAAACTTGGTTCTCTATACCAATAAGAGAAAGAGAAAGACCACAGACGAAGCATTGTACCAACTTACAATATTGCTAATATTCATTAAATGATTTTTTCAGAATAACATGAAGCCTGTAATATTGAGAAAGAGAAGGCAGAGAATTAAAAGTGATGCAAACTGGGATCTATTTTATTACAAGTAGGTTATTCAAACTTTAAGCACAAAACAAGTTTAGTGAATTACAGAAGACTGATACTAAATTTGATTATTGAATTTATTTAATGATATTATTACCAGGTTTAATCAAGATCACTCCATGCCAAGTCTCATTTGGAATTTTAAGGTATAGTAAGTYACCTACAAAAACCTTCATCTGTAACATTATTATAATCCCTTAAATAATTTTAATACTTTACAATAATTATGATTTTTATTAAACAATTATTTTCATTGAATTTTAATCTTGCTTTAGACAAGAGAAGAGCTTCGAGAATCTTTGGAATCTGAAATGCGAGCATTCATTATGGATAAGGTAAAACGTTTTTTTCAGTTTTATTTCACATTATTAATTACATTATTACTTATTATTATAMTGTTTATTGTGGTAATTGTAGGACCTTGGTGGTAATTTTACCATTTCATGGAACCACCAAGAGTTTGAAGTACGTTATGAATGTCTAAGTGAGGAAATCAAAATTGGTGATTACTACTTACGTCTCCTTCTTGAAGATGAAGAAGAAAACATCAACATCACAAACTCGTTAGTATTTGAATTCCAAAAGCTTGCATACAATGATGATGACATTTTTCAATTGRAGGTTGAGAACAGGAATCTGTCGTGTCATTGGTTTAATTTCAATACCCCAACCTTTCTACTTTGAAGTATTTTTAACTTCTATTTTAATGTTTTGTAAAATTTTATTTATTTTAGGTTGGAGTTTTTCAATGATCTTTATCACCGCTTTTTGCTGACGACAAAGCCTATTATGAAAGCCATGTGTCTACAGGTAACTAACTWTATTTGGTGTTGAATTCCATGGGATATAGAGTTCTTAACCAGAGTTTGCATGTTTTCAGGCAATGACGAAAGTCTACAGCAAATGTTATCAAGAAATTGGTGCATTTAATGATACTCGTTACATTATCGGCATGTTAGAAAAGGTAAGTATTAATGTTTAGGTTTTCATGTTCATACAGTTGTTGGAAACAAATCAAAACAAATCAGGTTTCTGTCATTGTTCATTTGATATGGTATTTTGTTTTTAGGCAACWGACAAGCTTGAAAGAGATCGTCTTTTGATGTTTGTAAATGCTCTTATCAAGAACAAAGTATGTATTTCTTTATGGTTTTAACATGTAACTTGCTATCAGGGTTTTGATACATGTCTTTTTATATTTAATGTAGCGCAATGTGAAAGATCTTCTTGATGTTAATGGTGTTAGAGTCTTAGTTGATTTGCTCACATTAGCTCACTTGCACACCACAAGAGCCACAGTTCCTCTTCAGGTATATTTTACTTTGTTTTTGTGTAGTTGTAGTTGTGTTAGGGTAAGTTGAATTGTTTTATCTTTAGACTGCAATGATTGAAGCATCAGCTGATACTGTGTTTGATGGTGAGAAAGAATGGTATTATGGTAACAAAGAGAAAGAAAGACTTGGACCCTTCAACTTCCCTGAGGTTGGTATACATACAAATAAATATATGATATTAGTTATACTATTTCACCTTCTTTTATGCTGTATGTTTATGCTATCAACTAGAGTGAGTTTGTATTTACCAACAGATGAAACAAATGTGGGCTGAAGGAATWCTCCGTCCAGAAACCAAGTGTTGGGCCCAAGGAATGGACGGCTGGAGACCACTGCATACTATTCCACAGTTAAAATGGTGTCTACTAGCCACAGGGAACCCAGTCCTTAATGAATCTGACATGTGTGTTTTGGTTCTTAACATGTTAATAAGAATGTCCGAGTTCTATCCAAACAGGTATGGACTTCAAAGGGCTTGATTAATGGTCAATAGTTTGTGTTCTCCTTTGGTAGCCTTAAAGTATGCAAGAYATAGTATAATAGTAGTACTAAAGGTTGTATTAATGTTTTAAATTGTTATATTTTCAAGGGATCCAGATGGTGCCATTGTAAGACCGTTACCCAGAGYCAAGAGAATGTTGTCTGATGCAACATGTCTGCCTCACATTGTCCAGGTTAATAAACATTTTACCATTACATTAACAATATCATTCMAAWCATTATMTCAGTGCCTTCCTTATATAATATARARTGAATCTCTCTTGGGATCCCTGTAGATTCAGCAGGAATCCCAAGAAGGCTACACAGGCTAGTGATGGTTTGCTAAAAATAATAACCTATTTCTTTAGTTGCTGTTGACGTTTGATCCCATCATTGTGGAGAAAGTGTCTGTTCTATTGATAGAAGTGATGGTTGTAAGTATGCTTTGCTCAATTTTTAACTCAAAAAGAGTTATTGGGGGGGGGGGGGGGGGGGGGGGGGGGCGACGAATCTGTCACTCACGGTCAGTCGGTCAGTCAGTCACTTTCCTGTAAACTTGATATTGTGTTAATTGTATTCAGAATTATTATTCTGTATTTGTCCACACAATCAATCTTCAAGTTGTGTTGCTATTGGCAACTTGTTAGATATTGTTCCCGTTTATTGAGACTTTCTGTATTKTAGGATAATCCAATCCTTCCTCGTCTGTACCTGACTGGTGTGTTCTTCTTCATCATGATGTACACAGGATCCAATGTCATTCCTATTGTCAGGTTAGCATTGTAGTGTTAGATCAGTATGAATACAAAGACTGAGCTGATGTTTGTATGTTATAACTACAGGTTTCTKCAAGAATCTCATATCAAACAAGCATTCAGATCAGAAGAGGTGAAAATTCCATTTTTGTCTCCATAGTTGATGTTTTTATCTTAGTACTATCAACTGTTTTTTAGACTTTTTATGAAATAGACTTTTGACTTCCATTATCACTCATTAAAGCTGTAGCAATGAAGAATGTTTAGTGTAGTAAGCTTGTTTTGTTTTCAGAATGAGAAACCAGAACTTGTACAGCGAAGYATACTTGGGAACATATTACCAGAAGCTATGGTGTGCTATCTGGAAAACTATGGTAAGTTATTTGCTAACCTGTAGTTCTACTGCTAAAATTTCATCTGTTAAATTGTATGAAATATGACCTGCTGAGATGTAGAAATTGAGACAAATATTTTGTTTGCAATTTCCTCGTGTCTTCATTCTGTATAAATAAGTAAGTAAAACTCAGTTTTTTACTTGTTGCTCATATAGGTCCAGAGAAATTCTCTGAGATATTTCTAGGAGAGTTTGACTCACCAGAAGCCATCTGGAATGCTGAGATGAGGTACAGTCAAGACAATAGTCAGCGATGTTAATGTAAAGAAAACTAAACTGTTTGTTTATRTTTCAGACGTATGATGATTGAGAAGATTGCTTCTCATTTGGCTGACTTTACTCCTCGACTTAGCAGCAATACACGTGCGCTTTATCAGGTAAACAGGTCATTSAGGTGTCCTTGATGTAGTCSAGGCTTATTAKATGTAAAGCTGCAATCAAAGGCGATATTATCAAATAATGCTTTTGACACACAATTTTACCATGATTTGGTCACAACGTTTGGTGGTGTTCAGTGTTGGATGCGCTTTTTGGAAGCCAAGTATTTAATGATATTTTATTTAGATTTATATTCTTATCGGAGTAAGTTAGTGGTTTTAGTTATGGATGTTTTGTGTGTCTTTTCAGTACTGTCCCATCCCAGTCATCAGCTAYCCTCAACTAGTAGACGAACTCTTCTGTAACATTTACTACTTACGTCATTTGTGCAACACAGAGAAGTTTCCTGACTGGCCAATYAAAGACCCTGTAAGTACAGCCAATGAAACTTTTATGCCTCTCACATCAAGATATCCAGAAAATGACTTTTTTACCCACTGGGCCTCAAATAAAACAGTTGTGCGTTTGCATTTTGAGCAATGCTTTTGCAAAAAGTGATTACTGTTTCATTCTAAGTTCATGTACGATTTGTTTATATTGATGTGTATAGATACGATTATTGAAAGACATCCTTGAAGCTTGGAAAAAAGAAGTGGAGAAGAAACCTCCAAATCTATCTGTAGAGGAAGCTTACGAGGTTTTAAAACTGAAGAAAGATGCCTCAGGGTATGAAATAKTCTTGCTTTCCATAGTAATATTTTCCTATGGGGTAACTCACTTTTCATGAAGTTTACTTTTTAACTTCAACAATCGTTCAGGGGGAATGCTTTCTCAGTGTGTCAATAATATTCACTCACCACTTTATTGATATCTTTTAAGGACTGTCGATGAAGCCAAATTGAGGAAAGCATATTTCAAACTCGCTCAAAAATACCATCCCGACAAGAACCCAGAAGGAAGGGTAAGCATCGACACTGATTTGAAAGTCGCATTTTCTATTTCTCCCATTTCAGTTCTCATTTTTCTTTTTTTTTGTAGGATATCTTCGAGAAAGTTAACAAAGCGTACGAGTTCCTGTGTTCTAAGTCTGCACGAAGAGTAGATGGACCTGATCCCCAGAACATTGTACTTATATTGAAGGCACAATCTATACTTTTTAAGAGATACAAAGATGGTAAACCCATTGTCTGTCTGTCTGTCTGTCTGTCTGTCTGTCTGTCTGTCTCTGTCTGTCTGTAGTTATTCTTGTGCTCGTTAGTATATCGTATTTCTTGATTTGTTTGCTCTTATTTGTGTTACTTTGTGTTTATATTTATATGATTTGTACTCATTAATCATTAATGATAAGTCATCAATCATCAACAGAGCTTCAGCCATACAAGTACTCTGGCTATCCAATGCTTATCAAGACGATACGYATGGAAACCAAAGACTCTGGCTTGTTTTCAAAGTCAGCTCCTCTTCTTACTGCGGCCAGTGAATTAGCATATCACACAATMAACTGCTCTGCACTGAATGCTGAGGAACTACGTAGAGAAAGCGGCCTCGAGGTATCGTATTTATATCAATAGGATATACTTGTTAAACCGGTTTGATAAACCTGAAATAATTGACAAGCCTGTTAAACCGGTTTTATTTTACCAGTTTGACATACTTTATTATGAATACAAATCCTGATGATACCTGATGAACCAGTTATGACAATTGTTTACATAAACCAGTTTAGATCGCTTTTGATCAACTGATTTACAAGTTTTTGGAACGGTTGAATTTCAATATTTCAAATTGTTATTTCTAGGCATTGGTAGAAGCCTATGTTCGCTGTGTTGATGTCATTTCGTCATCTACCAAACAAGAGGAGATACAAGTCCAGGTATGAACCCAACGTGCAACAACAATCAACTACAGAAGGGTCAACAACTGCAGCAACTATTTTAATGGCAAAAACAGCTCCGAGTAACAACATCGTATCAAATATTGCAAAATAAACGTCAAAGCTGCTATAACTCACAGTTTTATAGAAAACAACAACACGCGATAATGATTATGTTAATGCTTATGCTAATGTCTTCTAATGACTATGTTTTCCAGGTGTGCACGCACATCACAAAGTGTTTTGCCGTGGCTGCGCAATTCGAGGCATGTAGAGAGAAAATCACCGAAATGCCAGTCATCATTAACGATTTATGTCGTATTCTCTACTTCAAGGTAAGTTTAATCCTCGTTATTCTTCCAAGACATTGAAAATCTTCTAAAAATTCACGCTGTATATACTGAATAAGGTGTTCAATATCCAAACAATTTTGTTCCCGTTGTAGAACTTGCCCCARCTGTGTTCAGTGGCTGCTGAGTGTGTCAGTGCTTTCAGTGTTGACTTCTGGCTGCAGACACAAATGTTACAAGCAGGAGCTTTGTGGCATCTTCTCTTGTATCTCTTCAAATACGATTACACCTTGGAAGAGAGTGGAGTTGAAAAGAAAACAGAAACAAACCAACAGGTTCGTTAAAACATTGTGTTTGTCAGTGAAATCACGATTGATATAAACACTAGCGTCTTGATCCCCGCCATGGCATCATCATCTCCATGTTACAATGATGTTCTTCACTTTGCCTCGGTATAGATATATACCGCACCCTCCCCTCCCYTAAATCCACCACGCAGGGTACACCTATAAGTGTATTTTGTCGTTTTTAGGAAGTTGCTAATAATTTGGCTCGTCTGTGTATGAATGCACTGGCCAGACTTGGAGGATATCTACGTAAGTATACYGMACACTAMATTAYATGAGGAGAGTACTATTATAAGTAATGCTGATCATATTCAAACCGCTCCTTTTCAGCTGATGAGAATGCGACCCCAGAGAATCCAGCTATCAGGAAATCAYTATCTGCTATGYTGACACCGTATTTAGCAAGRCAGTTATCCAACGACACGCCTAAAGATGTAAGATTAATAAAGATTTGTACAGATTGGCTTTGTGAATAGCTGTGGTACTAGTATCATGGTGTATATGGGGTGTTTTCTGATCGCTATCTTTGTTTCCATAGTTACTCAAAGTACTGAACAGCAACACAGAGAAYCCTTACCTTATATGGGACAATGGGACGAGAGCTGAACTCATTGATTTCCTTGAGAGACAGCAGCACAGCAATATCACTGGTGTAAGTTTGCTGGTCGTTTGTGATACACTGCGCTCAAATCATCCAACATTGCACCCGTCTTACATCCTCTTTTCCTATTACCATCTTGTATCTGCATTACATCGCGCATTATACAGGACTACCGTTTGATTGGCACGCGATATGTTAGTAATTTTTTTAGCAATGACATTCCTGGTCTAGGTTTTATATCGTTTAAACTATTTTATTCTATAAGTTTGTGATCCATTTTAGGCCCAAGGAGACGCTTCATTTGGYGCCGAGTTTGTATTCGATATTTTCTCTCGTGAACTTATTGTTGGCGAAGTCTTTGTTCGCATTTACAACGAACARCCCACCTTTGCACTMGAGGTATGTAMTGACTTCTTSTTTAAATATCAATTCGGCTATTCTTAACGGATGTCTTTTCTTTTCAGGCACCGCAAAAGTTTGTGGTCGATCTTGTAAATTACTTAGGATCAGAAGCACAGGTAAATATAAACAACTGAATGATATATAATTTATAAAACTCATTAATATTCATAAGGCAAAACACAATAGAAATCATAGCCCATGAAGAGAGTTGTATATTACATACAGATCGCCCGCTCATATTGTATATATTACATAGAAACGTCAATTGATATGTTACTGTTGTTTAGTATCTACACTCTTTGATGGCGCTTACTGCCTCTGAACTTGATGCYAAAGCTAATAAAGAACGTTTGTCGTACGCTGGTATGGCGCTKGAAGCTCTTCGTAATGTTATCAAGAACAATCCAGGTAGTAACTTATTTTCAAGATTTTAAAACCACTTTGGATCTGGTGTAATTTCGTTCTTTGTTATCAGGGTCAGAAGCCCAGTGTATTGGTCATTTTAAGTTGATCTTCTCTTTGCTGAGAATGACGTCGGCAACTAAACTCCAAGAGTGTGCACTAGAGGTACGTTAAGTCTGATATTTTGGCCTAACACGACTACTTTGAGAACGGCTGTGTTGCTTGATCAATTACACCCGTAAATCGTCATCATCATCATCATCATCATCATAATAATAATCATCATCAGTGCACTATTTTTAAATATAAATATTTTTTATGATTAAAATCATCATCATCAATCGTGATCATCATTGAATTAATCATCGGCATCATGGACACTAATTCTTGAGATGTCAAGATGAAAGCTAATCAGCAATCATTACATGGGCTTCCTGTGGAAGACCATGTCTAAAATTACCGACGACTTTCCTTCAACATGCTTCAAAGTGGTATATCCGGGACCTTTTCTATTGTGTTATTGTCCTTCATGTTCCTAAGCAACGATTCTAAGCTTGCCTCGTGCTTCATTTTGGAAAGTTTAGGATCGTTTAGGGATAGAAATCACGGATCTAGCTACTACAAATACGCTCAAATCTCTTACAAATCCACGTGTCATTCGCGGTACAGAAACACTAAATGATGTCGAGCGTTTTTCGAAAGGGCATTTGTAGGGATACCGTGAATTTATCGTGAATTTAAGCGAATTCAATTATATACGGCTATATACGGCTCTGCAATCACAAAAGACTATCTAAGGAATCCCAACAGTGTTATACTGAGGAAAATGAAATGATTGGAAGTATTTCAAGCGAAGAACATGAAAGACTATCGACCTGTGTTTACGCGGAATGGTTCCTCAAACATGCTTACTTCTTTCACAATATTATGCTTAATGCTATAAAGTACATTGCTTGTTTTATTATTTTTCATTAAAAGAAATATTTTTGCCTTAGTCTTAGTAATATTAACGTTATTAGGGCTCAATATAATACAATTCTTCGATTACCAAAATAACTATTGTCATTGACTTCTTCGTTTGCTGATTGTGATACCACAGGAAGCCCATGTAAACGATCGCTGATCGTCTAGTTCTCATATACTTTATCTTGTTATTTTCTGACTAATTATTATCATACCAGGCATGCCCCTTTCATATCATCAATAGTTGATCATGTTGTTGGTCTSTGTAGGTGATATCCAGTGTCACAGCTAACAAGAATTGTGTCAATAATATCGCTGACTCAGAAATCCTTGGTTTCCTTCTCCTTACTTTGCACACATTGCCTTCAAGTAAGTTACAATTTCGCTTACTCGCAAGTAATGTACATTACATAGTAAATCAAAGATGTCTTCCAGTAAGATTTTTAGACTGGAACAGTTATTTTGATTAAGTAAAGTAGTAATTTAGTATTTCGGATGGTTGAATTATTAAGGAGCTGATACTTTTGTATTTGAATTTCAGGTCGTCTTCTTTGCGTGGACACACTTCATGCGCTTTGCTCGAATACAAAAATTGTCAAAGAGGCCATGTACAAAGGTTTGTGAATCTTCCAGGTTATAAGAGCGTAATCGTTACGAGTAGCGTTACACGACTTGAATACCCGCTTACTGTCTTCTGTAAGGCTCTCTGTAGTCTAACCATTACGCATAACCATTACGTGTAACCATTACGCATACTTGTACGTCTTTTAAGTGTTGTTACGTCATATAGGTGCGTTAATCTACCTCCTTGATCTATTCTGTAATGGAAGCAACCCTAACGTACGCGAACGATCAGTGGAGCTATTTGCTAAAATGATGTCTGATAAGTTRATTGGTCCTCGTGTGAAGATCATCTTGGCTAAGTTTTTACCATCGATATTCATGGATGCCATGAGGGATAATGCCGAGGCGAGTGTTCATATGTTTGAAGGTAAAGACTCTCTGAGCAGCGTACATTATTTCATAGAACCATATATCTTAACTTCCCGTTTTTCAGCAATTCATGAAAACCCTGAGTTAATCTGGAATAATGAAGCAAGAGAGAAAATATGCTCTGTCGTTAAAGAGCTGGAAGACAGGTAAGTAGACGTCATATGAACGTTACACCTACGTCATGTAAGTGACGTCATATCAACGTTACTGGAATTTACGTCATAAGTGACGTCATGTACATAGGCTATACTATTGTGACGTCATAGAGAACGTATCATTTGTTTGCAGGCATTATCATCAGCAAAGGGAGAATCTCGATATTCAGTGGAAAGTACGTCATTTGGATGTTTGTTTGTTTGTTTATATTTTTGATTCAAGAGTATTAAGAGTCTTGTTTATTTTTAGCTTCCTGAGGATTTCTCGGTTCGATTTACCGACACTGAAGGAGAGCTCACTATTGGTGGTGTTTATATTCGATTGTTTATACAACAACCAGCTTGGGTAAGTTTGCATGTCTTCTCGATGTTTTCATCCATTCCCTTCGTTTGTCTTGTCATCTCGCGCAATTTCAAAGAAACTTTGTTTCTCTCCGAATTTATTTGCTTTTCTTTGTAATCATTTCTTGACTGAGAAGTCTTTTTCCTACAGGTTCTTCGAAATCCCAAAGACTTTATGCACGCACTTCTTGACAAATTTATCGAACTAATCACAAAGTCAAACACTAACGCTGATGTAAGTACCTTGTGGATGGGATTGAATGGTGTAGAATGCGATAAACTAATTGCTTATTTTACTCCACAGAACGAAGTTCTCGAGACCATCACTCAAGCCGTTCTTTGTTTATTTACTGCACAAGTAGCTTTAGCTGACCAGGTACTCTACAAAACACACMCCMATTATGACTATTGTAGACMCTYCCCCTYCCCCCWAAAGCTTCCACCACGTAGGGTTTTCGAATTATGTYGATGTAGGTTTCACAGCAGAGATGAGCCACGTGTTACTTCCTTCTCAAAAAAGAAAAGTTTAAAGTGTATATGTCAGCTTTGATTATAAGTAAAGCATGTTGTTTGTAGATCCCTGGCCTTGGTCATATTCCTGCTATATTCAAGAGCATGGATTCTCAGAACACTGCAATYCCCAAGTCATCGATGCAAGTTATTCATGTCTTAACTAATAGCGAGGTAACTTCCAATAACCTCTAATAATCACTTATTTTATCTCCGGTTATCTCTAATACTCCTTGAAATGGATATTAGTCTGACAAATTTTAGTCGTCGCTACTCTTTCTCTGCTGGTTTATTTGACTACTACACCTTTATGTATATCTCATTTTTTCGCGTGTTTATTGATTTGTTTGGTTGTAAACTGGATGTATAGCAAAATAAAGTTGTTGTTGGTAATGTTATTGTTGTTGTTAGTGTTGTTGTTGGTTTTGTTGTTAGTGTTACTGTTGTTAGTGTTGTTGTTGTTGTTGGTTTTTTGATGTTAGTGTTGTTGTTAGTGTTAGTGTTACTGTTGTTGTTAGTGTTAGTGTTGTAAATGTTGTTGGTTTTGTTGTTAGTGTTACTGTTGTTGTTAGTGTTATCGTTGGTTTGTTGCTGTTAGTGTTGTTTTTATTTGTTAGTATTGTTGTTAATGCTATTGTCCCTTCTTGTCATCTTTGTAGATCTGTGTTCGTAGTATGGCAGCAACTAACGATGGCATTAGTTACATGATAAAAGGCATGGAATCACGACCTGACATAACTGGTTTGGCTTGTGAAGCACTACACAACATGTTCACCAAGAACCATACTGAACTCGTTGCACAGGTAACCCGGTTCACTTTGATACCTTTTTGGGCGTCGGTTTTAATCTTTTCTCGTTTTTGACGATTTTGCTAATCGATTTTGATCTATGTTTTGTTAGGCTGTCAAGTTTGAGCTTGTACAATATTTGTTGGGTATTCTAGACAGCCCTCTGAAGACAGTCGAAAACCCTGCAGGAACGAAAGCGCAGGTCGTMATGGCATTGAAGTCAATGCTGAAAGATTTGGCGCACGGTGAAGAGGTAATACGAACAATAGCTCTAAAATAAGCGTAACACTATCATGGTACACCTCTGTAGTACGGACACCACTATAATACGGACTCCTATCAGTATTACGAACACCTCGGTAGTACGGGCACTTACGGACACCTCTAACAAACAAACTACATGTATGTAGATAGTGTACCTTACTCTACAACCATCTTTACACAACAGTTATATTAACCGAAATTGATATAATAATACACTTTGYTTCAGGTGAATAAGATCCTCGAGGCTTCATCGGTCTGGTCTTCATATCGAGATCAGAAACACGATCTTTTCATATCAGATCGACCTATAGCTGGCTACCTGACAGGATCGGTTGGAACTGCTGGTTATCTTACGATGGGATCTAGTAATCCTTCAAATATGACCACTGCTCCACCGCCTGTACTAAACAAAAATGTCAACGGAACCTCCTGACGTCACGTTGCCTTAGAGACTGTTGCTGTGGARATATAGTGATTTACAAATAGAAATGATATTTTGATATTCAGCAGGTATTGAATAAATTAAGAATTTTTAGCAAAAACATAGATAATATTTATCCAATTGTTATTGGTTGATATTACATTAAAGGCTAAAGATGTCCTCTGTATGTGACATCTAAGAATTTGAATCTGAAAAACAGTTCCTTCCATTTATTCAAACAAAATGTTAATGAAATGTATAAAGACACGAATAACAAATACAATTATATAGTTTTCAAGAAAAAACATCTTTTGTTAAGATTTTGTTTAAATTTAAATATAAAAATGTACAATTTAGAAGTCGATTTTTAGACTCGTGGTTTCGTGGGTGTATGGAAACGTCTCGATTTGAAAAGTGAAGGGTTTTCTCGAGTTACCCAGTTTATCAGGCTGATTTGTTTTGTTCAGTTCAGCAGGCTCACTCCATATGAMCAGCTGCAACTGAGGTAGAATTCAAAGTAGTATCTATTCTGTATGCATGGGCAGTTCTGTCGAATTATTTTATTTCTTGARTGACCTGAGTTCTAATCGTACGGAACGGTGAAATTTCTTAGCCTCTGGTAATTTCTTCGGTAACTGATATGGTATATTTTGTAAGAATGCATTTTAATAACAAATAAAAGTTTTATTACATAGAAAGTGTTTTCTCTAGAATGATTTGGGTAACGTCTTAGTCAACCACTATCCCCAATTTTGTTGATTTAGGGACAGTCAACCTCTCCCCTAGTGAGTAAAGCAACATGTTAAAGTAAATGTGTTTATTGATTCAAGTTTGTGACGCTGTCGYGTGGTACAATTTCGCATCTTCTGAAATAAAGCGAAAAAAAAACGAGCTTGAAAAAGTACTTGGCTTGCTCTGCAGCAGGGCCGTAACTAGTAAGAGGCCAACCGAGGCACTCGCCTCGGTAAAATTTTGCCGATGCTTTTTGTTCTTCATCATTAATATTATCTTAGCCTCTCGAGCCGATTTCGCACGACTGATTTTGTGCAAAAAATATAAAAATAATGTWATTTTTGTACGTGTAGCTTCTTTGTTTCATAAATATTGCATGATGAATTCCGGTTAAATCTGTTCAATAAAGAGTTACCAAAAGGCCCACAAAACGCTGCAACTTGCATTTCCGAGAGACTGAATTTCAAATTTTCTAGGAGGAGAATGCCCCCAGATCCCCCTTGTTTCTCCCGCCATCGGCGGCCGCTTGCCTCGGTTGTCCATTCACCCTGGCTACGGCCCTGTGCAGTCGTTGAATTTTGTTCAATTTTCTGTTACGTATTTCATCTAAGTCTGACTAGAGGTAAAACACAAACCTTTAGACTAAGGACATTGTACTCCTGCAATCTGTTCCAAAGTCAGTTGTGGCAGAAYYTCTTGAATCTCCTTGTCAGTATCTGGTGGAGCAGACTTCGCATTGCAAATGTACCTCTTCATAATGTTGGTTATTTCACACAAGGGACATTCCTTGAGTACGCTCTCCACCTGTGGAATGATGATATAATAACAATTTAGATTTTGACTATGAATATTTGGCTTCTCATAATTAATATTGTGATGCTTGTCATCGTCGTGATGATGATGATGATGATGATGATGATGATGATGATGTTATTGTTGTCCATCGAAGGTAATGGAACCGTAACATATAATGAAAGAAGCTACAAACTTCTAATAAGCATGCGCATTTGGAAGCCTTTTCTAACGATCGATCACATAAATCTTACAGTATTAAACCAAATTCAGTACTACGAAATTTACTTATGTTGGATTACGTAGCTCGTATTCACCAAAAGAAAAATCTTAAAATCAATATATATGATACTGATAAATAAAAGATCAGCATTTTGCGTGATTAAAAAGAGKTACATAATAATCAACGCTACGTACTTCTGTAACAGGAATGTTGATCTTTTHAGAAATTTCACTTGGACTTTTCGGTTTACAGTGGTATTCACAAATCAGATCAAGTGTGGTTGGGTCGTTAAGCTTGCATTCTTTGTTAAAACCATACTCTTCGGCCGCATCTTGGACCTTTTGTTGCAGTACTTCCTCAGAAAAGAAWGCAAGGCCTGTTTGTTGTTCACATTCCTCCGGTCGATAGTTGTTGAAGGTTCTGGCATCTGTAATGATATTGGAAAGCTCGTCCTTTCCATTTCTGCAGTTATTGACRACATCGCTGTGAAAGGGAAATTGAACACATTTTAAAACATAAATAAATCAACRTTGAAAGTCGATAGGAGACCAATAAGAATTTAAATGATTCAAGAATGAWTATAAAACCATTATACCTCACAAGTTTAGCTCTGTTATTAACACAAGTATAGATATGTGGTAGAATGCCAATAGCTTCCTCGTATAAGTTGTTCATGACGGTTGCCACTTGGTCAATGTCTCTGTTGTTAGGGATTTCGTTGAGATAAATCTCTGTCGCATCAATCATGCTTTGCATGCCATTTCCGTYGCCTTGTATCGATATCATGTTTTCCTTCATGTTCCTCAAATCCTCAAGGAAAACATCACTGGAAACTTGGTCCAACATGTCGTCTTTTACCTATTAATGTAAAGAGACTTGTTTAATGCAGTCCCGGCTTTCTGCTGCTAATGTCGGGATTTTTCCTCAGGGAGGGGTATTATGGGAAGTAGCAACCAGCTAGAACTAACCCTTCTGGAGGAGGACAAGGTAATGTGAAAGTTCCTCCTCTGAAAATTATATTAACACAGGTAGGAACATGCACGACGTAGCTATACCTCATTCATTTGTGCTTTGGCAGYTTCGACGCTCGCGAGTACTTCGTTGTACGTCTGGTTTGCTTTCACGACCTCCGGRTAAGTCTCCTTGGCTTTCTCGAGAAGTTTCCGACAGTCGTCGCGATTGAAATTTTGTACTACCGTGTATATGTTGTATCCTTTGAAAGAAAAGAAACGTGAAAATCAATAACAGTTCGACTTTTATATTCATTTTTTAGTGGCATGATATTTACAAGCTGTACTCTAGCTGCGGTGTTTAGAAATTCGATACCGTTTAGCAAAAAAAAAAACCTCATTGCAATAATGTAGTTTTACCTGCAGCGACATAGTTCGATAGCGCCAARAATCCATCTTTAAGTCCTTTAACCACTTTAAGTGCCTTGGCGTATTTGCCCGTGACGGCAGTTCTTAAGTTCACCTTGGCAGTTTTGATGTAATCTGATGTCTTAGAGAACCAACTTTTCATTCCTCGATATGCCTTCGTGTTTTTTCCAGGAATCTGGATATTCTTAAACTTTTTCGTCATCTGAAGAATTAAAAACAATATATATATATAATTTCTGGGTTTGTCGAGATGATACAAGTCCCACACGGCTGCAAGGTGTATCGTTTGTCAATGACAGTGAGTTTTTAAGGTAGTTCCGAGATCACTAATAAGTAAGACACGATTTTTTGATTCTCGTCTTAAATATTCCATCTTGGCTACTGGAAATGAACTTTTACGTAAATAAAATGAAAAAAAAAAAAAACGGAGTGAAGGGAGAAACGTACACGGAGTCCCGAGTCACCTGCGGAGGAACCTAGAGATATGATTGAATGTACTAACCTCCCAGCCTTTTAGATTAGCAAGACGCTTGCCTGCAAACTTGTATATTTTAGGGATATTTGGTATCAATGATGTAAAAATAGGAATGGCGATTTTGACGGATTTGTCAATTCTTAGGTAGTATGACTTGGATACAGCTGCATAGTCCACTTTTTCTCCGGCTTGTTGTGCTTTGCCAAGCATTTCCTGGAAAAYATAACAGTATCGTTATTCATCCAACATTGGTACACGAGTGTGGTAATATCACTAAAATATCCAACGATCGAACTATTTGTGTGATAATTATTTTGATCCTCTACATAACAAGCAAGCAAGTTTGATCGGCGACATGAGTGATTTCCAAGAATTTTCTATTGTGAGAGATACTAGAGCCAGGAAGGAGGAAGAAAAAAAGCAAAAGAACACCACGAAAGGTTGCCGATGTGAATACTAAAAAATAAATACTAAAAATACTAATGAATACAGATTAAAAAATATACATATTCTTACCGTTATTCTTATATTCTTACTTATAAAATTCAAATTCCAATCATCTCAGTCCCTACCTCGACTTCCAATGTGCTCTCATCTAAACTGCTCGTGATATTCGGGTCGACAAATTTCAGAAACTCTTCAGACAAATATCCAGCTTTTTCCATTTCTTCCAGAGTGTTATTGAAGTTATAGTTGACATATTCAATCATGTTTTGCAGATTTTTAGCTGGATTAAAAAAATTAAGAAAGAGTATAAAAAGAATGTCGGGATATTTTGACAAACTTAGAAATGATAAATCATAACTTTTTCTTCTCTAGACAATACGCAGCTAACAAAAATGATCAGTTCCAACTTTAACTGCTATACTTAGTCTTTAGCTATATATTACTGACAAAAGCACCCCCCCCCCCTTATAAAATGCTGGATCCGCCCCTGTCTGACATTTTTGCCTGTAACGGCCCCACCCGGTCCTTAAAACCTACTTTCAAGTTGAATATCGTAGACTCGTGGACTTCCCGCTTTTATAGAGTCTATCATAGTCTTTATATCATCGTTKAGTCGTTTGGTTTCTGGGCCATAAGAGGTGTCTTTGCAATCCTCAAGTAAGGTGTAAACAGTGGATATGATTGACAAAAGGCCTGTTACTTGATTTGCCACCGTACCACCTATTTGGACCGCTTTGAATACATATTGCAGAAGAGTTTTTGCTGAAAAAGAATTTTTGTAAAATGAACATCGTTTTTTTTTGGTTTACTAATCTAATTAATTTATTTAATATTGTTAGCTATCAAAATACTTATATCACTGTATATTACCTGCTCCTGACCAGCGTTTGTCGTTGTTTGACATCAATTCATGTTGCTTTACATGACGTAAGCGAAGGAATTGAGCTGGACCAAACTCATTCAGAATAAGAAACACACACATTAAAACAGCAAGTTTTCTCATTTTGAAGAAATCCTCCCTGAAAGAACATCATCGATAATACAATTACTAGTTTTTAAACCAGAATGTGTCGCATGCGCTTTTAATATATTGTAGACGGAAAGAAGATCAAATACAACTATACTAAACTTTTTTTATTTGGGCAATAAACGACAGCTTGAAGCGGTTTCCTGGCGAAATAAACTACATGCATGTTTGGGAGAACACGAGAAAAGATCTGTAAATCACGAGTCGTCAGGCGAGTGATTTACCTTTTCGAGTGTTCTCCCAACCATGCCGCGCGGTTTATTTCGCCAGTAAACCGCTTAAAACTATCGCTTATTGTTTTTATATTATAGCCGGCGTCCAACGTTTACACTCAAAAGTCTTTCAAGAGAGCAGGCTGGTTTACCGTCGAAATAATAGCTTTTCTCATGAAATCCGCCAATCAGCGMGCGTGTTAGAATTGAGCTGTAATATTGCGTTTAAAAGCAAGAGAAACTTCCCTGTGATGATGACCGGGRTTGATGATTCAAGCAATTCATGGAATAAAATTCATTTTTAAAATAAAAAGACTAGATTATCACATTTTTCGAGGAAAAAACAGCAACATTATATTAAAAAAACTAAACTAAAAAAACTTGACACTAGAGAAAGAACAAAATTGCCAGGCAGTGAATGCAGTATGTACCAGCTAGGGCTTACCTTAATAAAATCTTTTTACCGTAAATTGATGGATTTTAGTGCGTGGGACTCCGTCTGCTCGTTTTTCCGTCTTCTTGTTTTTGTAATATGAAAATCAATTTAGCACTGAAGACAGTCATCTAGCTAAAATAATTAGCTTGCTCAGATAAGCGAACAGGTTTGTGAATTATTCAGTAATTTTTAATTATTTTTTTGTAATTGTTTGCATTGATTTAAAAAGAGGACTAATTCATTGTTATCGGCACTCAATCATTTCCTTGACATCAAAAGACCGGCTGCAATGTTGCTTTAATGAACACACAACCGTACGTTGAACATGTCATTATGCATCACTTACGAGCCGTCTTTTACAGTGCTGGAAAAATGAGGAAGCCTGGGTCTARTTGGAGTTGATCGCAGAGAAGGCTATACTAACCTTCCGTGACCTTTATAAAACCAAACACGGTCGTCATGATACAGCAGTTTTAAACTCAATTGCTGTTCTGTCTCGATACAAACGCAGTAGTGAAATGTAATAAAATAAAACAGATTTTCCTCAGTSCCTTTTACTTTTACTATGCAGTCGATTSAGAGTATATAAATCCCAGCTCAAGGGRGTGGGTCTAGAATGCAGGACAAGAGAACGGAAAAGAAGCCCCCTGCTTTCCTTTTAACTCCAGTCTAAACACAATGAAGTACTGCAGACGTTGATAGCTACATCGCTGAAATAACTCAGTCACAACTACTTTTACTTGTCTTTACTTCTCAGCTACTCCTTTAATTAAAAACAATTTGACAGAAGCTAATTCTAAATGTCATTCCCCTAACAATGTCCAATAACTTCAGACTAAATATATCATTGTTCTAAACACATCGTTGAATGCGCAAATATTGACAAACTGCTTTTTAGGTAATCAAGAGCCTCAATATAATATAATATAAGTCAACAGTTTAATAAAAGAATCAAAAACGATACAAAATCGTCGTCCAATGAAATGACTTTCCTATCGTGGCCACATGCAGGCACAGCCTACAGGTACCTCACGGATTATGACATGATACCAAGTACGACAGTGCTTACTAGGCATGCGCATAAACGATATGTCCTGATATAGTGTAACGCAATCGTAAGCTCCGTAAATACAAACTGGTAATAGTCTGGAGCCTATCTTTCCACTACAAGTTGTTCTTTGGTAGCTTTTAGGAAAAAAATTGTCATTGGTTTTGAAGAAATCTTTTGGGTCTAACTCCTGTGTGTTGACATCGCAGGGATTTTGATGATCGTTGCTATGGGTTTGACGGATTCTAACTTCTTGCGGTTGAAATGATTTATATCTAAAACAAGAGACAATAAAGGTTATTCGTCGGTAGAAAAACAAACAGAATAACAAATAACAAATAATAAGAAGCAAACGAAACTAAAAAATGGGTCAAATATGTCCGTTTTAAATCCCCATTAGTGATGCAAATTTAAAGCAGCCTTTTCCTCCTTCCTTCCGTTTGTACATGACTTCAGCATAAGCAGATTTTGATAATCTTAAAAGGCTTTCAATCTTGTGTCATATTGATGTCGAAAATGGCCGGTTTTGAGTTTATGGGAATATCAGGAAGAGACGTAAGTGCTTTATACTGGCCGGATTTACGGGAAATAATAAACTTCACAGTATTGAGTTTTTTAAGTACCTACCTCGTTAACCACAAGAGTCTCTCTATCCTTTCTTTATTAGGAAACTCTTTGCTATTTATAAAAGGGTTTTTTACATTATCAAGTACCATGGTTSTGTTTTTTGATAGTGCTATAGATACAGCTAGAGTGCGATCACTRTATGTCAGAACAGACAAAACTATGACATTGACGGGAAACGCAAAAACCTGAAATAAAAAAACAAAAACAACGTACAATTATAAGTAACATAACATTATATGAAATACTATGTAYATCTGACCAACATAACTTAACAACATATCACAACAAAGTAAAGCACCATACAACATCACCACGCCACACAACACATTCCACCCAAACAGAATCATAAAAAATATACTGTACAACTGACTGAAAATAGAGTATCATAATAACAAAACTTAACAACAACAAAAAAAACAAAAACAAAAAAAAAAACAAGAACAAAAAAACATTACATAGCATAACACAATGTTGATCATTGAGCATTGTTTTTACAGCGGTTGGTTTTCTAGTATTTCTTTCTAATTTCATTCTCGTTCACGAACGCCCATTTTTGTGCTTTTGTCCCGCTCACAATGAAGTAAGATCCACTGGTTGACATAAACTAGAACCAAGAATAGTCGTCACTAAAAAACACAACTAGATAAGAACTTACCCAACACAGAAACATTGTCTTGCTTTCCTTTCATCCAGACAGTGAATGCACCACCTCAAGTTCTGATCCTTTTATACGATGCCATTATTATCTTGTTGGTGGGTTTGTTTGTTTGTAAACCCTAAAGTAGTTCAAGGTGTCAKTGAGATGTTATCTCAGTACTTTCCGCGTTGTGCTGTCCTCCTACGGTCCTATACCCATACACGTGTGAGCATTTAAGACAATTGCACATTACACGCTTCCATAAACGTTTACAAGGTTATTGTTTGGCAGTTGAATTCTTCTTTCTACGTCTTTAAGTATTACTTTTGTTGTAGGAATAGCCTTGAGTTGTAATCCAAATTAAATCATTAAAACCTGTCTATTTTAAACGGATTATACTCTTAGATGAGCTGACTTCTGGSCCATGTTAAAATTACTAAAAGAAGGCAAACACCAACCTGTTACTGATAACAAGAATTAGCTCTAGCGCAAAACCTAATGGATTTGCGTATTACAGATGATTATGGCAATACCTACGTTGCAAAGTAATCTTRTGTTGTTGTAGCCGGCGTTCACAATATCTTAATTTAAATGTCAAATTTCAATTTAGAATAGTAACTCTCAATTCAGAACTTATTATCACATGACCRAACACTAAAAAGGGCTGCGCAAATAGCCTTACAATGTTTATAAACAGAGTGATAAAAAGGAGAAAAAAAAAACAAAAATAGATGTTTAAGAAATACTTCTCTAATTAAAGTSTTTAAATCTCCTTACGTCTTGATATAAAAACCCTAGTTGTTAATTTGCCTTGAGAGGATTAATCCAAGTGACTTAAGATGTTTCAAGATGTTTATTTTAGTCTATTTTCTTCTTATTTTAGAATAACTTTTAAATGTGCATAAATTGAAGTTCAAGAAGCGATCAAATGTTCTTAAGCCGCGCCCATGAAATGAACATGAGCGATTATGAAATATTCCTTCTCATTCTGGTACAGTTATACCATAATACCGTTATAATAATACATATGCTCTAGAAGCTTCCAYGTAAATGCCCTTCGAACAAGCGAATTTAAGTGGCTTGTAATTATGGCTTTATCTTTGCCAATGCGGAAGATGTAATATTCTTATTAATCAGGAAGCAAATCACAGAAATCCCAAKCACAAACAAATTCTTGAATTAAAAGAGAAAAGATATACGATGATGTGAATATTTGAACTACAAATTCGACGACTTCTCTGGYTTGATATTGATTGAAAACATTCAGACAAAAAGGCCAGCATCAGTCGTACTAAATGACTACTTCTACAAAATATGTGTCAAAACGTATGTCGATTACTTCCATTACTTATCTAAAAAGACGCCATTTCCCCGCCAAACTAGGGCGAGGGCTTATTGAAATGTAGCCGAATGTGCCAATCAAGTTTGGGCTTCCTTTGCCCTATCCCATAATGCTACTCGCATTGTATGCTAATCATTCACAAATGTCAACAAAGATGGCGGCCGGAGCRACTTCTTCGACTTCCGATAAATGGCAGCTAAAAGCTACGACAGTTCGTGAACGAAACGAGCTAATGTTTAATAACGAGTTGCTAAGTGATGTGCACTTTATGGTGGGGCCTACAAAGGAGCGTGTTCCTGCTCACAAGTACGTGCTCGCCATTAGTAGCCCAGTGTTTCTTGCTATGTTCTACGGTAGGCTGGCCGAGACTACCAAAGAAATTGTTATCTCCGACACCGATGTGGATTCATTTGTGGAGCTCCTTCGATTTCTCTACACAGATAAAGTATTCTTGACTTTAGATAATGCACTTGGTGTCCTGTATCTTGCTAAGAAGTATTTATTGCCAGTCTTGGCTGAGAAATGCACAACGTTTGTCRAGAAGAACCTTAATCCAGAAAATGTCCTCACAGTCTTAAGTCATTCACAGTATCTAAGTGAAAAGACTCTWGAAGATCAATGCTGGGAAGTAATTGACAGTAGTACAGCTCAAGTTTTAGATACGGAAWCTTTTAATGATTTAGATTTAGACACGCTTATCGCCTTGGTTCAGAGGAATTCCCTCAACATCAAGGAAGTAGCTCTTTTCCGCGCCGTAAAACAGTGGGGGGAGGTAGAATGTGTCCGACAGAAACTCGATCAATCTGTAGTGAATATTCGTACCGTYGCTTCAAAAGCGTTCAAGTACATTCGATATCCCGTGATGTCTCATRTMGAGTTTGCTGACGAGGTAGCCAAGACCGGTTTACTCTCTTTGGACGAAGTCACCACCGTATTTTTGTACTTTTTGTCAAGTATCAATTCAACTGTCCCATTTGAAAGCATTCCCCGTCAACCTAAACTTTCACAAGCAAAATCCTTTTATAGRTGTTCTAGATTTAAAAGCTGTTGYGGAAATGACTGGTTCTGTGATACAAGAAAGAGTGACGGCATCAAGTTCATGACGGACAAAAGTATCTATATGAGAGGAATTGGTGTGTATGGTCCAAGCAAAGTCGAGGGAGACTACAAAGTTAATGTAGAAGTTCTTGTACATGACAAGGTTTTGGCACAAAATAAGGTTTCCTATTCAGCAAGCACTCACAATACAATTCAAGACATTCTCTTTGAAGAGAGTATTACTCTCCTTAAAAGTGTTATTTACACTATAAATGTACAGATAAAAGGTCCATGTTCTTTGAGTGGAACTGACGGTCAAAGAACTGTAATGGTGGATGGTGTAAAGTTCAGTTTTTTGGARTATACAAGCCCAAATGGCACTTCATTATCTGCAGGGCAAATACCAGAAATTATTTTCCATCAATGAAGACTATTAAACTAATCTTTTAAAAAAATCATTATTAATTGAATTTTATAAGGTTTTGAAATTACAATTCACTTCGATATATTTATATTTAATTAGATATTTTACACCAAGAATATTTCAATTTTATTAAGCTTATAATTCACTAGTACTTCAATTTGTAATGTTTAATTGTTAATGTTAATATTTATATACAACCTGTAATGACTTGACTCTATTTATGAATACAAACATTCAAAACAAACTGGTTCATGGTTGATCATTATTCGTTTTACTACAATCACTTGCTGTCAGGGTCAGATTCAGTTTTAAAAATTTTTATTTTTTGATTTTTAATGTATATAAAATCAAAACCTGTTTTGCACCGTTATACTTAATGATGTCGTCTTTTCAAGGGCGCTAGAACTGAAATTATGACCTATAAGCCCCAGGGGGGGACTCCCTAATATCAAAGAGCGGGGGTCCTCGACGTCCCTTTTAGGGTTGGAAATCAGTATTTTGGTCCCGCTTAGGGTGATCATGACAAGAATTCCTACCAACTGAGTTCTGTGGTCCCTTTTAGGGTATACGGCGACCCTAAGCAGTCATAAAATGGCAACGTCGTCATAAACTCAATACGAGCCGACGGTGTTCGATGATAAATGTGTAAAAACACAAATAAAATCGGTAAACCAAAACAAAATGACCTGTTATTGATTGGTCCCTTTTAGGGTTGAAATTTCAGCACTGCCACGCCCATCATCTCACAATAGAGGTCCCTTTTAGGGGTCATTTTCACAATCTCCGCCGAGGAACCCCGCCCTTTGATATTAGGGAGTCCCCCCCCGGGCCAACATAAGATATTCGATAATAAATTGTAAAGTTTACTTATCTGAAATATACACTGAAATGTCCTCTTAGACACTAAAAAGCACTTAATTTTACGAAATTCATCCAAATGATCGTTACTCAAGCGGTTGTTGTACCAGCCACTGCTGCCTCGCCAGGAACGTTATTCATTAACCGGATTAAAATCACTTTGCCCTGGCCTTTGGTGTTCGGGAATACTGTTCACTAGATATATAATGTTAGTTCACCTATGAATTTTTTATGGTCAATCTTGTTGCCAAGGGAATTCCTTTCTGTGGATTGTAATTCACTGCAGTCTTTCGCATTGGCAGTGTTGCTATAGAGAAAAGCCTTWAAAAACAAAGTTCATTAACCCTTCCTCGTCTAATATACCAAAACGTTTTGACAAAGACAAAGACTTTAAAACTGCAGTAACCTCAGTCTGCCATACCTTGAATAGTTCTGTACACAGATTTTTCAAATGTCACGATATGACKTTAGAAATTCAAGGCATCCTTACATGATGTGTGCTATACACTTTGACAATCTAATCGCCCTGTAAACCCAACAACAGCTGGACGATGAACAAAGAGCGGGAAAGAAWTGCATCCAAAGAACAAAACGATGGMCTCTTATCAACAAAAAAAGCAGACTTCGAAGACGTATGGCCCTTAATCGGTGGATTGGGCCGTTATCCTTTGTGGCTGATAGTGTTCTCGTTGTATGTTACTATTATTGTCCATTTACATCAGTTTATACAGATTTACTATGGCACTCCACCCAACTTCCACTGTATCTCCAACCAGCCCAATATCACAAGTTCCTGCAGCATCAATAAATGTGGATGTTCCAATTGCACATATGYTTTCGATTCTCCAGGGTTTACAAGCGCTGTATCCGAGGTAAAAAGGTCAAAAAGAAACCGTTGTTTCAATACTACAATACATGTACTACAGCTTTACGATAGGTCTACAATCATTTATCGTATTGTTATGTTTCCAGTAATTTAAACTTAGCCGTTCCGTGACTAACCAGACAGCATAGCTTATGCCATTAAAATGTGAATAACCTTCAGTTGATGACATTTTAATACCATTGTTTGAAGAAGGATTTTCTTGTAATATTATACAGACAGCACTCTCAGTAGGAGACATCAATGAGGTAATAGGTGTGGAATCAAGGACATTCTCGAATCATTTTCTGTAATAAATAACTATCAATTATAGTTTTTCGATCCGGCATCCAAGGAATTGTGCGCATTGATTGGCTAACGGGCTCCCCGGCTTTTCATATTTGCCCGGTCCGAGGAATATGGTGACAATAAAGGGCAATAAAAATGATTATTTGCACAAAATAAAACATGAAACCAGACTTACGCATTATCCATTGTACCTTATATAACAWTGAAATTCCCTTTTTTTAACAGTGGAATCTTATTTGTAACCGTGGCCATTTGAGAGCACTGACCCAGTCCATGTACAACGCTGGTTTACTTGTTGGATCTTTGGCGTTTGGAATTTTTTCAGACAAGTTTGGAAGAAAGATTACAATATTTCTTAGCATCGCGCTAATGGTGAGTATAACTTTTTTTTGAAGTTCCGAACTTATTGTGTTTTTATYGCCGATTTTTGTTCTTTTGACTAGGTAGTGTTTGGTTTTGGATCAGCCTTTGCAAACAGTCTTATTCTGTTCACTGTTATGCGATTCGGTTCTGGTTTGTGTACTGCTGGGTCCTTGGTAACAAAGTTCGTGTACCCTATTGAAATATGTCCTCTGTCTTATCGAACTGCTGTTGGTGTTTTATGCAATATCTTTATAGTAGTTGGTGCCTTGGTGTTGACATTAATCGCTTATTTGATTCTTGATTGGAGATATCTTATGCTTGCTATTACAATTCCTGGAATAACACCACTGGTCTTATGGAGGTATGATATATCATTCTTCCTTGCCGACATCAGACAATTGACAAACACCGGCAACCTTACCGACGAACACACCAAATACAAACCAACTTAAAACACTCGATAAGAAAAAAGGATAAACAAACAAATCAACCAAAATACGAATAAACCAAAGAATATTCACACAAAGAAAAATCRCGAAATGGTTATTAAATCTGCCTTTCTTTWAGGTGGTTTCCCGAATCTCCTCGTTGGCTGATTGCAAAAGGTAGATTGAAAGAAGCTCAACAAGTATTGGAAAGCTTTGCGTCAGCTAGTGGTGTCGAAGTAAATAAACAGCAGTTAGAATCACTGATTAATAATATTGCTAAAGCTTCCGATAGAACAGAGAATAAGGAGAAAGCAGGGTTGATGGACTTGGTCAAGACGCCAAAGATGAGAAAACGAACGATAATCATGTGTTACAACTGGTTGGTATACATGAAGTACTAAAAAACATGGCGTTACATAGACTATTTTCATTTGCTGCTTAAAAGTTAATTTCCAAATAAAATTTCTCATTTTGCCACCAAGGTTCAACATTATAACGTCACACAGTATAATGACGTCACTGAAATTTATTTTTTTCAACTGCGCAAAAGAATTAATCACGAAGAAACGTGAAAATTAATTTTCCTTATCAAGTCACAACGTCAGGACCTCCCTGTAATACATTTTCGAGTTATCTTTCTTCAATAAGTGTGTAACGTCATGTTTTTGTCTAAAGCGTGTTCATTGGTTGTACTCTAGGTTGATCAATGCTATTRTCTTCTATGGTTTGACACTGAATGCTAAAAATCTTGGCGGCTCGTTCCATCTTAATGTCTTTATCATGTTTGTTGTGACTATGCCTGGAGTATTGACGTTATGGATCATCATCAAAAGGTAAATGTTACTTACTTGGGGAATTTTAAGCTGTGCACCATCAACACCCCGTTGTATATTTTTATCACGTGATAGGTGTGGTCGTCGTGTTAGCTATTGTGGWTATATGTTACTTGGTGGCATGGCTTGTTTACTGGTCCTCGCCGTACCTCAAGGTAAATTCTTACATTCTCCCGACATGCTTAAGGCTGATTTACATGATGGCACGATTGTCTCGTGCGATTTGTAGTATACGACTTGAATCGTGCAGTGTAAATGCCCCTACGACTTGTCTACAACAGTCGTACACAACCTACGACTTGTAGCAGGAAAATCGTATACTACAAGCCGTACGCGACAATCGTACCGTGTAAATCAGCCTTTAGTATTTCGTATTTCTAAACAAAATCAGTGTAAGCAAGGTGAATATCTGGAAAACAATGTTTTATTGCTCTACACAGGTTCACCGAATACAGTCCATCCCGCTGTAAAAGGTTTAGCAGTGTTTGGTGTTTTCTGCATTAGCGCTACATTCTCTTTAGTCTATATCTATCATTCAGAATTGAGTCCAACTTTACTAAGGTCAGTTCATGGATGCTGTATTTCTTCATGTTTGTCACTGTGATACTGATTTTTTTAATCATTTAGGAATCTCTCACTGGGAGTCGGTTCAATGATATCAAGAGTCGGTGGAATCATCGCGCCATATTTTGTCTTCCTGGTAAGTTCATTTATTTCATGGCAACTTTCTACATTAGCCTCCTCAGGCAGGCCAACCCTTCATTTTACCAGTTGAAATCCCTCTAGTGTCCACTAGGTCGAGCCGCTGCCTTGGGCCACTGAGGTAAAGTAAACCCATAATCCCCTATAGTCTAATCAAAAAACAGGTAGCCCAAAGGTATAAAAAAGGGGAAAAGCTGAAAATGTCTGTTGAAGAGGCTACTTCGACATCGGCTTCTTCTACATGATGTGTTTTCAGTTTATCAGTCATGTAGTTTTTYMAA